TGTAAATACTTCTATTTTTAAAACACACAGTACTAGGGGAGCTAGTACATCAGCAGCACTTAGAGCTGGAGTGTCAGTAAATTCTATTCTTAAATCACCAGGATGGACAAATGAGTCTACTTTTAGGCAATTTTACAATAGACCAGTTACTGTTCAAGAGTACAATGATAACTATAGTGTACGAGTACTTCGTGGAAAATAGTTTTGTTTTTGCTTATAATGTAACTATGTTCATGATGTATATAAGTTAATACAATATTATTTGAAAATGTGTTTATCATTACCAAAAGTCAATATTATGATATGGCTTTGTTGCCTACAGTTATTATGGTATCTGTATGTCGTTGAAACAATAACTAATTGTTACTGAGAGTATGATTCAATATAATACTCTTGTGCCAAACTTTAAATAATTTCATAGTAATTTGGGAATCCAATACATTATTGTAATCTTACAAGACATGTATACATTACATTATTCAAGTAAATTGGCTTTCAAATCTCATGGGAACTCTTGCATAATATTGGTTTATAAAAATTGTAAAATTAAATGAGGCTTAGTTATAAGACGATATTTGATTAAAATTTTTATAAACCAATAGTTATGCTAAGAGTTAACATGCCCACCCTTTTTCATTATTACCCACCCAGAAATTTATTCAATTATACTTGAATATCTCTGAATAGTGACCTCTATCTGCGCATGCGCTTCTCATGTTAACTCTTAGCATCACTATTGGTTTATAAAAATTTTAATCAAATATCGTCTTATAACTAAGCCTCATTTAATTTTACAATTTTAACCTTGTTTTACATGATTTCCAAAGCATCAGTAAATACAGGTGAGCGACACAGGCTCTTGAGCGCCTCTAGTTAAAAAATCGCTCCACTCTTGTTTAGGGAGCTACCATTTGAATTTTATGGGAGAGGGGGGCTTGGGGGCCTGAATGAAATTTGAAAAAATGCGGGACAGGAGTTTTGAGTAAAGAAATAAAAGCCAGGACCAAAAAGAGTGAAAAACAAACTGGCAGGACAGATATTTCAACTAAAAAAATTGCAGAATAACAAATCAAGTGGTAGCTCCCTTTATACCAACTTGCCCCACTTTAAAAAAAAAATCACCCCATTTATGAAAAGGATTAAATTCTGTTAAATATACTCCTGCCAACAGTGGCAACTCGCCTAACTTAAAATCCAAATGAATATAGTATGAAAATATTATAAAGGTCTGCCAACTTGCCCTACTTTAAAAAAAGGAAAACTTACATGTATCTACCCAGAATAGAAAAAAAAAATTGAGAAATTTATATGATATTTATTGAATTTAAATGATGTTTCACTTCTTAAAATATAGTTGTAGATTCATTATTTACTATTATTATACGACCACCAACAAATTTTGTGGTCGTATATTGGTATAACGTTGGCGTCGGCGTCGTCCGAAGACACATTGGTTTTCGCACTCTAACTTTAGTTTAAGTGAATGGATCTCTATGAAATTTTACCATAAGGTTCAATATCACAAAAGGAAGATGGGGATTGATTTTGGGGGTTATGGTACCAACAGTTAAGGAATTAGGGGCCAAAAAGGGGCCAAAAATAAGCATTTTTGTAACTTCCAGACATAACTTGTGTGTTAGTGTATGGATCTCTCTGACATTGTACCATAAGGTTCAATATCACAGAGGGAATGCTGGGATTGATTATGGGGGTAATTGCCTCCAAATTTTAGGAATAAGGGGCCAAAAAGGGGCAAAAAACAAGCATTTTTCTAGTTTCGTGACAATAACTTGTGTGTAAGTGTATGGATCTCTCTGACATTGTACCATAAGGTTCCATATCACAAAGGGAATGCTGGGATTGATTTTGGGGGTAATTACCTCCAAATTTTAGGAATGAGGGGCCAAAAAGGGGCAAAAAACAAGCATTTTCTAGTTTCATGACAATAACTTGTGTGTAAGTGTATGGATCTTTATGAAATTGTACTATAAGGTTCCATATCACAAAGGGAAAGCTGGAATTGATTTTGGGGGTAATTGCCCTCAACGTTTAGGAATATGGGTCCAAAAAGGGGCCAAAAATAAGCATTTTTCTAGTTTCCAGACAATAACTTGTGTGTAAGTGTATGGATCTTTATGACATTGTACTACAAGGTTCCATATCACAAAGGGAAAGCTGGAATTGATTTTGGGGGTAATTGCCCACAACGTTTAGGAATATGGGTCCAAAAAGGGGCCAAAAATAAGCATTTTTCTAGTTTCCAGACAATTACTTGTGTTCAAGTGTATGGATCTCTCTGAAATTGTACTGCAAGGTACCATACCACAAAGGAAAGGCTGGGCTTGATTTTGGGGACAATTCCTTCAAAATTTGAGGAATTAGGGGCCATAAAGGGGCAAAAAAACAAGCATTTTTCTAGTTTCAGGACAATAACTTTTGTAAGTGTATGGATCTTTATGAAATTGTACTGCAAGGTTCCATATCACAAAGGGAAAGCTGGGTTTGAGTTTAGGGGTAATTAAGTCTCCCAAACGAAGTTTGGGAAGACTTATTGTTTTTGCTCAGTTCTTATTATTATTATTATTATTATTATTATTATTATTATTATTATTCCTCTTCCGCCGCTTTAAAATTTGAACTTGTCCGCACCCGTTCTCCAAAACCGCTTGCCAGATTAACTTAGGGTTTCACAATATGTTAGAATAACATGTCTAGTGCTGCAATCAGGGTTTTGTTTGTGCGATGGGGTTTATAAAGGAGTACTTTGAGGGGCAAAAAGAAAAGAGGGTTTTACTATAGAACCCTATGGGATTTTATTTTTTAAAATTTTCAAATGATTATAAATTGAAAACCGTTTGTGATAGACACAATCTTTTTAATTGAAAATGTTCTAAATGATAAAGCCCATTAAATGAAATACAGGGTTAGTCCTCAGAGGTAACCCCCACCCCCTGCCATTTAAGAAAGTTCTAATACCTTGTAAATGGTCGAGATCCCCACCCCTAAACCATATATATTTTGGTTTGTCATGCTAAGATGGTTTGAATGATATACAGGGTTAGTCCCAAGGGGTTATCCCGACCCCCTGCCATTTGAGAAAGTTCTAATATCTTGTAAATGGTCGAGATCCCCACCCTTAAACCATATATATTCTTGTTTGTCATGATAAAGCACATCAAATGTAATACAGGGTTAGTCCCCAGGGGTCAACCTCACCCCATGCCATTTAAGAAAGTTCTAATATCTTCTAAGTGGTCAAGATCCCCACCCCTAAACCATATATATTCTGGTTTGTCATGCTAAGATGGTTTGAATGATATACAGGGTTAGTCCCCAGGGGTCATCCCCACCCCCTGCCATTTGAGAAAGTTCTAATATCTTGTAAATGGTCGAGATCCCCACCCCTAAACCATATATATTCTTGTTTGTCATGATAAAGCACATCAAATGTAATACAGGGTTAGTCCCCAGGGGTCAACCTCACCCCATGCCATTTAAGAAAGTTCTAATATCTTGTAAGTGGTCAAGATCCCCACCCCTAAACCATATATATTCTGGTTTGTCATGCGAAGATGGTTTGAATGATATACAGGGTTAGTCCCCAGGGGTCATCCCCACCCCCTGCCATTTGAGAAAGTTCTAATATCTTGTAAATGGTCGAGATCCCCACCCCTAAACCATATATATTCTTGTTTGTCATGATAAAGCACATCAAATGAAATACAGGGTTAGTCCCCAGGGGTCATCCCCACCCCCTGCCATTTAAAAAAGTTCTAATATCTTGTAAGTGGTCAAGATCCCCACCCCTAAACCATATATATTCTGGTTTGTCATGCGAAGATGGTTTGAATGATATACAGGGTTAGTCCCCAGGGGTCATCCCGACCCCCTGCCATTTGAGAAAGTTCTAATATCTTGTAAATGGTTGAGATCCCCACCCCTAAACCATATATATTCCTATTTGTCATGTCTCGAACATTTGAATGACATATACGGTCAGTCCCCAGGGGTTCCCCCCCACCCCCAATGTTCTAATATCTTGTAAATGGTTGAGATCCCCACCCCTAAACCATATATATTCCTGTTCGTCATGTAATGAACATTTGAATGACGTATAGGGTCAGTCCCCAGGGCTTCCCCCCACCCCCAATGTTCTAGTATCTTGTAAATGGTCGAGATCCCCACCCCTAAACCATATATATTCTGGTTTGTCATGCCAAGATGATTTGAATGATATACAAGGTTAGTCCCCAGGCATCACTAATGCATATACTGGACAAAACCAATTTTCACTGGACGTTGCCCAATGTCAGGCGACCCTGGGAATTATGAATTATGGGAGCTTCGTTTGGGAGACTTCGTAACAGCATCCTGTTACAATCATTTCTTGTTGCTCTAAACGTTTAGGAATTTGGGGCCAAAAAGGGGCCAAAAAACAAGCATTTTTCTAGTTTCCAGACAATAACTTGTGTTCAAGTGTATGGATTTCTCTGAAATTGTACTGCAAGGTACCATACCACAAAGGGAAGGAAGGGATTGAGATTGGGGGTGATGAATCATAAGGGGGTTCAAAAAATTAGGGGGGGGGATTCTTTTTTCCTTTTTTTTTCTTTAAAATTTTTCATTTTAAATTGGTTATTTCTGATTTATATATAAAAGGAAATAATGATGATATGGTTTGAATAGGTAAATTAAAAAATTTTAAGTTCTTAGACCACATTCATTCTGTGTCAGAAACCTATGCTGTGTCAAATATTTAATTACAATCCAAATTCAGTGCTGTATCAAGCTTGAATGTTGTGTCCATACTTGCCCCAACTGTTCAGGGTTCGACCTCTGCGGTCGTATCAAGCTGTGCCCCAGCGGAGCATTTTATTTAATTTATGTATTTATTGGAGAATAACTTTATTCTTGCAAGCTTAGTTATTTGCAAAATAATTGCAAAGGAACCTGTTAATTGTATCATAATCTATCTGATTGTTTTTTTTAGCTGACTCGAAATCATGCTACTAGGGCCCCCTGTTGTACTTAGGAATTGGACCCCTCGAAAAGGTGAAAGGTCTACTTTACATGTAAATATAAAAATAAGAAAATGTGGTATGATTGCCAATGAGAAAAGAGAGGAATTTGTAAAAGTGAAAATTCACTTGTTTTCCAATTCTGATAAAACTGTCATATTGTCATGATTGTAATGTTTAAATAACCTAATTATTTTTAAAATAAAATATTGTTTACACTAATGAGAAAAGACAACTCTCCATCAGAAATCAAATGACATCAAAGTTAACAACTATAGGTCACTGTACATCATTCAACAATGAGCAAAGCCCATACCATATAGTCAGCTATGAAAGATCCCAAATGAAAATGACAAATTTGTAAAACAATTCAAACAAGAAAACTAACAGACTGATTAACAATGTATATATACAAAACAAAGAACAAAAAAAACAAAATATGATACACAGCAACAAACAACAAACTGAACCACTAAATTACAGGCTCCTGACATGGGACAGGCACATACAAATGTACAGGATGTGTTGGGTCTAGACTAGTAGTTTGTGGTGCCGAACCCACCTCCTAACCTGGTATATTGATGTGAAAAGGGCTTAACTCATCAGATCTATACAAAGCAGAAAGACATCTAACAAAAACACACACAAGACGTGGTGGGTATTTATACATCCCCACAACAAAAAATACTCCCAAGTACAGATCTAAGAGTACTCCCAGTTACTAACACCAATAACAAGGTACATGTACAATGTATTTACCACAAAACATTGCCTGGTTTAGTCCATTTCTCAGATACTACCTTATATAAAATAGTCCAACTTTTGGTGTAATTTAAACAACTTTGAATAACTTAAAATTTTAAAGTATCATGATTATTAAAATAACTTAATGCCCAAAGATTGGCATTATAAATCATGACAATAATGTATAACCACTTTTGTTCATCCCTTCATTCAAGGGTTATATGGAATCTATATGATGGATAAGAACATTGGATGGAGAGATGTCTCATTGGCACTCATACCACATCTTCTTATATCTATTAAAATGATTAAATACTTTTTATAGTCATTTTTTTCAGGGAAAGTTTGTTGGTCTAGTTTTAAAAGATCAAACCAAGCCAATTTTGCCAGATCTAAATATTAAAGGCAATTTTGGCAGATACATTGTATTATAACTTCATTTTATTAAACATTATTTCTTTTAGCTTTTTCAATGAAAGTACAAGTACTTTGAGAAGTAGGAGAAGCTAAGCAACAGAACAGAATTCATTTGAGGCATTGCTTTCTAGATTATATAGTGGATTAATAGATTGTCATATTGATTTATGTGCATATGAGGAGCAGTAGCCAATGAATAATTTTGTGATGAGAGGTATGTAATGAAAATTATAACTTTGTTTGAATAATTTTTTCTTGTCAGACTCTGTACATGTAGTTTCAAAGATTTTTTTTAAAGTTTGAGGTCATAGAGTTTAAAGTTTGGTTCTTGTTGTGGGCAAGTTCGAATCCATGTTAGAAGTGACAAATTTCTTTATTTTACAGGTCATTTTTATAGAAAATTGCATTCAAAGCTCTCTTAATCACTACATTGCTTGTTCTTTTTTGTCTAGCCACAACAGCTATGAAGCTGTGGCTTAGGCATGCTGTTTTCAACAGAGGCATAGTCGTAAAAAATTTGTTGATATTCGTGATGAGGTCAGTTTAAGGAAACCAAGAAATAACTCATGTTAATTATATATATAAAGTCAATAATAGTTGGTGTGCAGTTGAAGTAGGATATGCACTTCTCATTTCCATAGAGATTATTTGGTCCCAATCCCTCAGTCATGGTTGACTGACTTTAATACTTTTACTCAAACTTAAATGTTGAAAATTTCTGATTAGGTCAGTTTGAGCGAACCAATAATGATAAGTCATTGATATTTGGTACGTAGTTGTATGTCAGAGCCATAGTTATTGTTTTGCCCAGCCCCTCAGTTATAGTATAATGATTTTGAAACTTTTGCAAGTCATGCTTCATTGACTTTGGATGTTTTACATAGCTAACATGTTTAAGCATTGTCATTGGTAGTTTTAACAAAATTTTGCTGTTTTTTGTTATTATTTTGAATATTATTATAGATATATTTAAACTGTAAGCAGCAATAATGTTCAGCAAAGTAAGATCTACAAAAAAGTTAATATGACCATAATTGTCAATTGACCCCTTAAGGAGTTATTGCCCTTTAAAGACAATTTTACACAATTTGTTCATCAAGTTTGCTAACATTTAAAAATCTTCTCCTCTGAAATACAGGTGAGCGATTCAGGCTCTTGAGAGCCTCTTGTTTATACAGGAATTTTGTCACTTTGAAATATATGAGTTAGAAAGTAAGTGCTATTAAATTTATGTTTACAGAAGTTATTCCTTGGAAATATATATTGTAAGGAAAATTGCATTGCAAGCAATCCCAAACAGGTCTACATTTTTTGTAGATTATTTATGAAAATGTTTAAAAGAACAACCATATTTTATACTACAGCAAAAAAGTTTTGGGGTCGTATATTGCTATCAACTCGTTCGAAGACATTTGGTTTCCAGACAATAACTTCAGTTTAAGTGTAAGGATGTCTATGAAATTAAATTTAAAGGCTCAATACCACAAAAGAAAGGTTGGGATTATTTTTGGGGGTGATGGTCCAAGCCGTGTAGGACTTAGGGGCCAAAAAAGGGCCCAAATCAAGCATTTTTCTAGTTTCAGGACAATAACTTGTTTATAAGTATTTTAATTGCTATGAAATTGTACCACAAGTAGAAGGTTAAGTTTCATTTTGGGGGTATTTGCCCAAACCGTTCAGGAATTAGGGACCAAAAAGGGTCTAACCTTTAACATATATTATATACAAAAGACCTAAAATAATAGTATCTGCATCTATGGGAGACTGATATGTCACTGTTGTTACACAGTGTTGTGTGGCTTCATTACTGATTAGAGACTAATCAGATTATCCTTTACTTTAAGTTCAAATATAATGTACATGTACTCAATGATTATGACTTGCCTTCATTTAACTTGTAATAATTATGATGCAGGATCCAACAAAAAGTATATCTCTTTTTACCTACATTTTATGCATCAGTCTCACTGATTTATTAAGTACCTTGTAAATGTATATGGATATATATATGAATTCAGATTGTGATACTTAGTTTTGAGTCTTGCACATATATACATCATTGTACATTGTCATAGGAGTTAAAATTACTTTGATCGCTGACAATGATGTTTTGAACATTGCATCATAATGTTAATAAAATTTTATTGTCACAGATTGAAATTTTTAGTATTTTAAAAATAAGGTCTTATGAAAGGAGATGTGGTAGGATTGTCAATAAGAAAACTTCCCATTAGTCGAAATGAAGAGGATGTTAAAAATTTTAGGTCACTGTATGACCTTCAACAATGAACAAAACCATACTATATAGTCAGCTGTAAAAGATCCTGACAAAATGAGCAACAATTCAATCCAGAAAACTAGGAATGTTCCAATTACCATGTGCAGTATTGGTTATAATATAAAAATATCACTTGTTTTCTCTCTTTACCAAGGGAGAAATGTATTGCCAATTTATTTTTATTGGAAAGCAGTACATAAGGTTCAGGTTTTATATGATAATCACAGGAATTTAAATTTTCAGAATTAGCTCCTCAGATGTAAGTGGAAGGGAAGCTTTATATACATGATATGTTTAAATGAAAGTAAACAGGCGTATAAAAAGGGAAGTCAATGGTGGTAGCTGCTGGGTTTTAACAACAAAAAAGTGCTTTTTTTAGTTATTGCCCTTATACTTTGAATAGACAAAATATGTGCAATGCTGGGGACATTGGAACTCTGCTCTTTTATTATAATTAAGACTCCTTAATATATGTATATATATACAAATAACTGCAACATTACCAAAAAGTTTCAGAGCATTTTGATTTTCATCTGAAATGTTTACAAATTCCAGCTTTCATAGCAAATTTCAACCATAATGAACCTCCACAGCAGAGGTAATCAAAAAGTAGTGCAGATAAACAATTTGCAGAGCATTTGGAGTTTTGATTTATACCCCTATGGAAGATAAATCACAAATTTTGTAACTAGATGTTTACAGAATGCATAGAGCTGTAGACATACCATTTTTGGTATTGTAATTTTAATGAGGTTAAGACCTGTAAGAAAGGGGCTTGAAAAATGAGGAATTGTGTTTCTATAGGCACTTAGTAATCTAGATCTATAATACTATAATAACGAGGTCCAATTTGTGAGCCGGCATGACATAAAAATGACGATATAAAGAATTCAACTTTATATATAACTTATATATATAGGACAATGGTGTTGATTAAAAATTACACCATTCCAGGCCCATTTGTTTTCCACATAATTATTACTACTAATAGTTAACAAGTTCTTGGTCGAAGGGTTCAAAAAGAAAGATTTTCAAAGCAGAGAAAACTGTGCACCTAATGATCAGCATGACATTATTAGATGACAAAACAAAACTTAAAATCCAGGCTAAAAATAAGGCTTAGGTACTTTGCTTCAGTCACAACCCCATGATGTCGCGGGAGTATTCTAGTATATATTATATATACAGGTAATGTGTAGTACACATGCATGAATAGAGTTAGTTTTCATTATTAATTTATTTTAATAAAAATGAGAAGATGTAGTATTATTGCCAATGAGACAACTATCCACCAGAGTCCAAATGACTGAATGTTAGCAACTATAGATCACTGTATGTACAGCTTTCAACAATGAGCAAAACGGATACTGCATCTAGCAAGCTATAAAAGGTCCTGAAATGACAGATGTACAACAATTCCAATTTACGTAAAAAACATTAAACGAAAAATAAATATGATAAACAACTGAAAGGACGCCTCCAGGTGCGGGAATTTCTCGCTGCATTGAAGACCTGTTGGTGACCTTCTGCTGTTGTCTGTTCTATGGTCGGGTTGTTGTCTCTTTGACACATTCCCCATTTCCATTCTCAATTTTAACAACTATTATATTCCACTCCGGTTATTCACACGATATATATATGTAAGTTTGGTAAATCATTGGAGATTAAATTGATGTTATCATTTTTGCCTGATTGGTAAGCCAATATTTGATGTATTCCAAGAGTCTGATGGCTGATAATTTATTCAGGATTTTATCATTCAAGCGACATCTTAGAAGGATATGTGCAAATGTATGAAGGAAGCCTTGGGTACAAATAGCAATTACAGCAATTACATGCAGGAGAGAACTCTTAGGCATTACTAACAGACATGTAGTCATGATATGGGAGTGGTGTATTCAAGAAATCTAAAACACATGGAATTAAATATTGTGTATATTTTTTCAACCACAAGGTAACTTTCAGAATATAATACAATTCAAATTCAAATTATTGTGTCAACATGACAATTATAGTCTAAAAATGGAAAATGCATGTTTTTAAACTGAATTTTATAAATATTTGAAATAACAAGAATTTTTAGCTTATTGTGCAGCCAAACTTTGAAATCTCCTAATGATATATGCCTGTTGTTTGTCAACATGTGTTTTCATGAAAAGGTTCCTGGCTTGAAACAGGCACATGAATATGTGGCAGGGTGAACTACTTTTTTTCATCAAAACTTTCAAAAGAAAAATTGGCATCTTTTGCAAGTAAGACAATTTCCATAATGTGATTGGATTGTCTCATGACTGATAACCACAAAATGACTTATACATACATATTAAAAATGAAATACATCAGTGCATACATATTCTATAAATGAATCACCAATCCTTACATCTCTTTTAAAAAAAGTATAACCGAAAAAATTATAGGAGTGAACTTAGGTGACCTGGATATTTGCTTGCCTTTTTTGTTTTATTGCATCTTATATCTTGCATTGGAGATATTGTGAGTTGGGAGTTGATAGATATATATTTTTTGTATTGTTTAGGACAAAGAAAGTAAAATATATTGGAAGGATGAACACATAGTCAAGACCAAGAAGAATATTTATATATATCAAAATAGAATGTGTACTAGATTAGCATTAACTTATCTAAAATATGCTCAAATACTGTGAATTTGTGTGATTGATGCTCAATTCACCTTAATTTCATTTTAGAAAAATTAACATGAAAGCTTGATTCACGTTAGTTTCACATGAAAAATTTAACATGAATTTCACGTTAAAGCTCTATTCACATTAATTGCACGTGAGTTTCATGTATAAGGTTGTTTGAGGTGAATCTCACATGAAATTTACCTGAACAAAATGTGCCTGTGTATATATATAGAAAACACATGTATAAAGCATGTGTTACAAAACGCATGTAATTCACTTGAGAACTAAGATACATGTCAACAATCATGGTAATTGGACAAATAGGAGGACATTTTGAAAAATATTTAATACAGGCACCATGCCTTTTAAATGCAGTAATCAGGCATGTATCACAGGTGTATTTCCTTGCGCATGTAATTCACATGTGAAACGCATGATCACATGTGTGTATCATGCGTATCACATGTGTTTTCCACACATGTGTCACATGCGTGGCATGAAACGTCTCTTTCACATGCGTGTGACACGCACGTGAAACACATGTGTCACGCATGTACACATGTGTGGCATTTTTACCAGTGTAAACCTGGTTTTATAGCTATCTAAACCTCTCATTGTATGACAATCACATTAAATTCCATTACATTGACACCATTGTGTGAGCAAAACAAGCAGACATAATAGCTAAGGTTAAAATGTCAAAAAATTAGGGTACAGCAGTCAACATTGTGTTTTAATCTTAATCAAATTACTATAACTATGTAGTTGTCATCGAAGATGAATCTCATTTTATTCTGAATTGCAAGGTAACCACAAAATCAGACACAATCTATTTAGTGATATACAGTTAGACGATGAACATATTATTCATTTCCCTGATGAACAAAAATTATTTTATATGTTAAGCCCCGCTTCCTTCAGACATGTTAGAATTATTGGCTTCATATTTTTAAAAGGTCATTAGAACTGAGGGAAGAGGTTTCATTGTAACATGGCTGTTGAATATTGTTACATTGTAAATCTATCACTTATGATTTTATTGTATTCTGTTTTGTTGTTATTTCGTTATTTATTGTTTGTTTAAATTTGTATTGCTACACACATATGTAAATGTTTAATAACAATAAAATTGATATTGATAAATAAAGATCCGTTACAGAAATCCGGTATGACCGATCCGAATTATCTTAAAGCTCTTTATTTGGTTACTATAGTTGTCCCTATTATAATTAAAATGCTGCACTCTATTGGGAAAATATATTGCCCCGTCTCTATTTCCTTCTTTTTGAGGGATTTTATGTTCGATCTGTGTTGTATGCAGCAAAACCTGCTTTTAACTTTTTATTACGTGTTTGTTTGTCTGTGTGATTTACTTTTCAATTCATCAACTCAAGTTTATACTAGCTTCTTGTTAGTAATGTATTGATTTAATATAGTTATTGCATTAACTGGTTTATTCTGCAGTATTAAGTCGCCCAAACGGAATCTGTTGTTCCAAGACCTGTCTTCTCTAAACAGTTTTAGCATGTCTTGTGAAACATTACAATAGACATAACCAGATCATTAGTCATGTTTCAGGTATGATATGACCAATCTTGTGGATAGCCATCCCCAAACATATTTAAATGTTCGTTGATTTCTGTCATATTATTTTCGTTGTTAGCTGTGGTATAAATCAGGCCGTTAATCTTTCAATTATTTCACAATTTATCATACCGGAGATTTTTGTATTTTACTTTATAGTATGGGTTTTGTTCATTGCTTAAGCCGTACTTGACCTGTAATTGTTCACATTTTCCCCTTTGTCTTAATGAATGCTTTGTGGTCGTATATTGGTATGACGTTGGCGTCGTCGTCGTCGTCGTCGTCGTCCGGCGTCGTCCGCAGACACATTGGTTTTCGCACTCTAACTTTTGTTTAAGATAATGGATCTCTATGAAATTTTACCATAAGGTTCAATACCACAAAAGGAAGGTGGGGATTGATTTTGGGGGTTATGGTACCAACAGTTAAGGAATTAGGGGCCAAAAAGGGGCCAAAAATAAGCATTTTTGTAACTTCCAGACATAACTTGTGTGTTAGTGTATGGATCTCTCTGACATTGTACCATAAGGTTCAATATCACAAAGGGAATGCTGGGATTGATTTTGGGGGTAATTGCCTCCAAATTTTAGGAATTAGGGGCCAAAAAGGGGAAAAAAACAAGCATTTTTCTAGTTTCATGACAATAACTTGTGTGTAAGTGTATGGATCTCTCTGACATTGTACCATAAGGTTCCATATCACAAAGGGAATGCTGGGATTGATTTTGGGGGTAATTGCCTCCAAATTTTAGGAATGAGGGGCAAAAAAGGGGCAAAAAACAAGCATTTTCTAGTTTCATGACAATAACTTGTGTGTAAGTGTATGGATCTTTATGAAATTGTACTACAAGGTTCCATATCACAAAGGGAAAGCTGGAATTGATTTTGGTGGTAATTGCCCACAACGTTTAGGAATAAGGGGCCAAAAAGGGGCCAAAAATAAGCATTTTTGTAACTTCCAGACATCACTTGTGTGTTAGTGTATGGATCTCTCTGACATTGTACCACAAGGTTCCATATCACAAAGGGAATGCTGGGATTGATTTT